GCAACATCCCATGCCTCATAGTTCCCGGAGAATCGGTTCGAGGGACCTCGTAGCAAAGATATATCCCTGATATTGCGATCACATGCAAACAGCGAAGAGTAAGAAGGTGAAGCAAAATGGTATGGTTGAGTGCGGGCAGGCAATTGGTAATTGCTACCACCACCGCCGTGTTGCCGTAGCTCGTCACACTTGCACTACTACCACCTCCACCACTGCTGGCGCAAGAATTCGTCGCAGTTCACTTCACCTACAAAGTGACATTGCAAGTGGTTACCTTAACGGATCAGTCACGCATAGGCAAAACTTGGATGTGGTTAGGCCATCCCACGATGCCGTTTCTACTTGACATTACTTCGTTGTCAATATATTTCACGGACGAAACAGACCACACTTTCAACTCAAACTGCGACGACACCCATATACTGCCACAACAACCCCTACTATGTACGTGCAATAAGCGGTGCAAACAACTCGAAAATTCGCGACTTTGATCAGGACTGACGAAAAAGAAGCACAATCTTATGATCACGTGGTGCTGTGAAAAACATGTATTCGCAAGAGATCTGAGTGAAGTTGACACGCGTTACGTGGAACAGTGGAGCTTTCCAAGACCAATCTTGTACCAATTGATCAATGCTGCTGAGGATGAATTCGCCCAACCGGATCGTTTGACGATGGCAGGAGTAATACATGCTTGCACGGCCGTCAGGCATAACAAATCACACCAACACACTCTCGTTCGCACACACACTGTTTGAACTCAAAAACACCGAACATGCACTCACACACCACTGACACTCGTGCACACACAACCCCGCGGGGCACATGGTCACCCGATAACACAAACATAGAATGCACACGAAAACACACGGAACGCAATAATAAACAAAACGCTGCTTATTTCTCATTTATTGGGATTTCTCATCTTTGCCGCTAGTGCTGGTTATACTGGTGAGTGTAATTCGAGATTCAGATTTCTTTTTGTAAGGACTTAGGGTCGGAGATGATCACAATTTGCGTTAGGGAGTTCTGCAAATGAGTTGATGCGTCCGGCAAAATGCTGCTGATCCACCGCATCACACATTGCAACCACAGTTAGGTTTGCTGGCACACACACATACATCCCAACACCTAATAATCACACAGTTTCATCAGCTTATATGCCGTCATCGCTATTTCGATTGCGTTCGAAGCAAACACGTCAGGCCCTGCATCCCAAAACACATCATCTCTACCATTTTTTAAACAACATTGGTGAAAACGGAACAGGAAAAATATTTCATTCGTCTACAGCAAATGCGGCACTTATGAAACCACACAGCTGATGTGAGCCAACGGACACAGTTAAAAAGATGGAAATGTGCATGCTATGCGAGTCCTCAAGTAGGAGA